TGGTCGGGTATCTTCATCACCTCTGTCTTCTCTACCTCCACTTGAAGTCTCGTAAACTTGTTAGTTTTGCCTGTAGATCTTCGAGTTTGTACGACATTGGACATAAATCATCATGGGCGAAACACAAATCTTCTAGGTTCTTTTCATCCTTCCAGTCAGCTCATCCCCCTCTTCGCACTCCTCACGGCTGTCTGCCGCATCATCCAGTCAACCACAATCAGGAAGATCATGGGTGGTAGTAGGCGGCAGCCTTGTCTCACCCTCACTGTCTTCACCTCACTTCAAAGGCATCACTGAGCTTCCCATTGTGAATTACTTCACACGTGGCCTCTTCATATAGTTGTTGAATGAGGTTGATAAAGGTATGCGGCACTGGAACCGTATTGTTGAAGTAGTTACCAAATTACTTCTCGATCGATGCTGTCGAAGGCCTTTTCAAAGTCGATGAAGTTGCGGCTGAGTTGAGTTGACTGCCATTCTATGCTCTGTTCTATGATGATGCGTAGCGTGGCATTGCGATTTGATCCGCACATGATTTGTACTTCGTGAATCCAGCCAGCTTGTTCTGGTTGTAATTCTGAATGCAGTGCATTGTTTAGTCTCTCCAGGATGATGCGGCTTGTTATTTTGTTTGAGGTTGGCAGGAGTATGATTCCGCGCCAATTCGTGCTAAGACTTCTGTGGCCTATTTACTGAAATTCATTGCAAGAAATTAAATAGATTAGATTATTTTACTTAATTGGATCTATTGGATCCTTAAGCCGACAAAGTTGATCTCCAATTGGGACTGCAGGTCTAAGCGCCACCCTAATTCTGGCCTCGTTGAAGATCCTACGTAAAGTTTCTGATATGCCTTCCTTATAGGGTAAAACAATGAAGGCTTTCAACTTCTTTCCACTTGTGTTGTTGTTATTATTCACACTAGTGTTACTGTCATTTTTTCATTTCTTGTGTGTTTTTTAGGGAATTTCTTGATAGACAGTAGACGCTTATTTTATGTGCTTAAGTTCTTACCTTCACTGACTCACATTAGATGACATGACTTGGATTCTAGACACCTGTTGGAACGTGTTGGTTTCCTCTAGATGGTAATATCCAATCCGCCGTCTGTCCTTCATTTTATCCTGCAATCTAACATGTGTAAGTCTCCTTGTTCACTTTCTACCTCCTCGTAAGTGAATTGGATTGCGCCTATTACTGAGTTGATATGTGTGAGGAAGTTGTCGATATGCCGCGATTTCAGCACAGTGAATGTATCATCCACAAATCTCCATCATATCTTAGGTGCAAGATTAAACGTTTGTAACGCCGTGTTTTCCAAACTGTCCATGAATATATCTGCTACGATTGAAGATATTGACAATCCCATTGCTACTCCTTCCGTTTATCTACATATTTTGTCGTGAAACTAGAAGACTATAGAGGTCAGACAGAGTCATCAGTAAAATTACGTAATCTACAGCTGATGTGATACGCCGACTAAAGCTATCTCTAGATAATTCTAAATGCCCATTTAGAATAGCGGGACATAGGAATTTAGCTAAACATACAATGACAGACATAAATAAAGACCAATAATCTATAAGTAATTCAGCTATTACAATGCATGCATTAACAACACACAACTACATAATAGAGTAGGATAAAATTACCACACTGTTGTGCAACGAGAGAATTAGGTGGAGAGAGAGAGAAATTGACCGATTGCTGAATCTTTGTTCATCGAATCAACACTCAACACATTTAATAGAAATAACGCAACACCAATACCAGAGATACTACCAATAAAACGAAGAATATAAGGTGATAGGACTATGAAGGTTGAATGTCTAGAAGAGTGTTATTACACTGATATGATTATGAGTAGTAATAATTTATGCCTTAAAGGTCGTCATCAAGTAAATGATACTGTATTACTCAGTGTGTTATATGTCAAATAAATCTAATATGGAATTAAATTCTACTACAGTGCCCAAGTTTTACGCTTTTAAAAAGCACACTTGTCGAAAACGGTTACCCTAACCGTCTAGTTGATAAAAATATGCTAGGAAGAAATACTAAACTGGTCATTCACTCGATCTCAAAGAAAAGATTGTTCATAATTCTAGAACTTAAAGGTGACCTAGCATTGGATATGCTGAAGTATCGTCTATGCAAATCAACCGATAGGACTTTCTTCTCAGAAAGACTTCAGTTGACTATTACCAGCTGAGACCTATTCTCCGTTTGTGTTAAAGATATGCTTCCTCGTTTGGTTACCTCTATGTGCACCTACCAGTTCACCTGCTCTTGTGTATGAAGATACATCAGCCGTAGCCATAGAATGCTTTCTACCGGTATACGAGAACATGTTAGTGCTTAGTATTATAAAGGTGAAAGAAAGTCTGTTAGAAGTTCTATTCTAGAACATTTGATTGATTCACATCACTCAATAAACCCGGACAATGCAACAATTGGCCCAAGCAAAATATTAAGCTGCATCATCCTGGAGAGACTAAACAATGCATTGCATTCAAAATTATATCCGGAACAAGCTGGCTGGATTCACGAAGTACAAATCATGTGCGGATCAAATCGCAATGCCACGCTACGCATCATCATAGAACAGAGCATAGAATGGCAGTCAACTCAACTCAGCCGCAACTTCATCGACTTTGAAAAGGCCTTCGACAGCATCGATCGAGAAGTAATTTGGTAACTACTTCAACAATACGGTTCCAGTGCCGCATACCTTTATCAACCTCATTCAACAACTGTATGAAGAGGCCACTTGTGAAGTAATTCACAATGGGAAGCTCAGTGATGCCTTTGAAGTGAGGTGAAGACAGTGAGGGTGAGACAAGTCTGCCGCCTACTACCACCCATGATCTTCCTGATTGTGGTTGACTGGATGATGCAGGAGATAGCCGTGAGGAGTGCGAAGAGGGGGATGAGCTGACTGGAAGGATGAAAAGAACCTAGAAGATTTGTATTTCGCCCATGATGATTTATGTCCAATGTCGTACAAACTCGAAGATCTACAGGCAAAACTAACAAGTTTACGAGACTTCAAGTGGAGGTAGAGAAGACAGAGGTGATGAAGATACCCGACCAACACCACCAACACCACCACCACCAACAACAACGACATGCTCCAATCATCATCAACGGGAGAGACTTAAGGGAAGTAGCCTCTTTCACCTATCTAGGCAGGGTAGCACAGTTTCAAATACATGGGGTGGCACAAGCACAGACGGGGATGTGAAGGCAGTGAGGATGGGAGAGACAGCAAGACAGGTCACCCTTCATTAACCTGAAACCAGTGTGGAGATCTGCTGCACTGCTCTGCACTGCACTCAGCATAACGCGCGAACAACATCCGGATTTTCAAGACTAACGTCAGTGAAGTCAGTGCTTCTATGTGGTGGTTGAGAGACTTGGCGTGTTACGAAAGGGATTCCCAACAAACTACAGATATTCATCAACAGGCGCCCCCTACACTGACTCGTTATTGAAGATGAGATCAGATGACCAGAATAATAAGAATAAGCAACAATGAACTCACTCTGGCTGGCAACGAAACAATGAACCAATCAAGAATCTATCACTGAACAAATATGTAGTGGAAGGAAGTGTATATGGATTGGATTGGGCATGCAGTGAGAAGAGGATTCGGGGGCATGACGCAGCATGTTAGGCAGTCGATTGGAAGTGAGGTGGGAAACGACGAGTTGGTTGTGGGAGTTGAGGGTGATATGGAGGAGATGATGTGAGGCAGAAGTGATAGTTTGTTGGTAGTTGTTGAGCGGTGTTGACAAGATTGTAGAGAATAGAGTGGAATGGAGACGTGCTACTGAAGGCATATATTCCACTAGGAACTCAAAGGACAAATGATGAGAATACGTGAGTGAAACTAGCCTGTGAGTGTCAGTGAGATCATGAAAACATAGAAATTTGGCGGAACATGGATTCGGAGACGAGAATATTATCACCAGTCTAGAAAAACTCTCCTGTGTTGCAATTTATGCAGTAACAACACACAACGACACAATTTGTTTGGATGAAACCGCCACACTGATATGCAAGAAGGGAATTATGTGCAGAGAGATGGAGTGTAACTGATCGATTACTGAATGGTTGTTCATCGAATCAACACCCATCACATGTAATAGGAATGATACAACACCATTACTAAGGATAGCGAAAATTTTACTATCGATAGAAACGAAGAATATCAGCCGGTTTCTGTGGGAACTAGTGTGATTACATTGATATCGTTTTTAGACTGGAATTCACAATGGATTGATAATAATCGGAAGAACATTTGAAATCTGGGAACACTGGACAGCTGTTTCGTCTTAGTATGGAACTCTTCTGAACTGCTCACTCATGTCCCTGCACCACCGAGGATCAAACCTATGACCTTCAGGTTCCATAGCTACCATATTATCACTGGTCCACATTTACAACTTCTGTATGATCCCTGCTGGGGGTCATGAGTGCGTTCTACTGAGGAGTCCCACACTAGGACGAAACAGCTGTTCAGTCCTACCAGATTTCCAGTGTTCCTTCAACTGGTGTATATTTGTGATCAATCCTACCTGGAAATTAGTCAATTTCCATATACCTCCGAATTTAATATTTACGTCCCCTAATTGTCCTTCTCGTTAAACTTACAGAGCAAAAATATCGTTTCAAATTATTTGTGTCTTCATATTCAAATCAAATTATGACGTTTTATTTATACAAAAGTTTTTCTATAAAAAATGAAAGAGAATTCGGTATTTTTTCAAATTTTTTTTAAAAATATTTGCATATTAACTAACTACATTCTCTTTTTTTTTTATCCTCATACCTCAGTTTACACATTTAAAGACAGTGATTGGTTGTGAATAGTTTGCAGTGACCTTGGATTGCACGTAAATCATTGCTCGGTTTCAAGGTCATGTCTGCTTGTGAGCCAAAAAACGAAAAAAAATAATCACCAATCCTCATGAGGTTTTGTTAAATATGAAAACAAAGTCAATTTTTGATAGAGAATTATTCGTTGTTTGACTGAATAAACATATTAAACAACTCATTGTCTACAATTTGATTAAATCTACTTATACCTTTATAAATAGGATCAAATATTATTGGAATAAATTTCTAGATTGTTATAGAAAAGGATTAAGTTGACCAAGAATTATGCCTTCGAATGATATGGACATTTTGTTAACCAAGTTAAAAATTGCATCACTAGCTAACCTTGAAGTGGAAATAACTGACAGTTTCAATATAATAATGTGAATAATATAATGTCATAAAACCTTGGAAACTAGTTATTCATAGGATCATATTTATTCACCATTGTACCTTCAATGTAAATTTCTAATTACACATACATACACACACACATAGACACGTGAATGTCTATTATGCCTACACGTGATAAACAAACAACGAATAATACAGATTGTCGTAAAACTGGATGTTGTTGTGCCTGTACAACAAAATCATCTCAGACAAAAGTTAATGGTAGACGAGAAATTCATGAAGTGAGTTATTTTATAAAGAAGATTTTATTACATACTGTTATCATATATATATATTCAATGCATTGATAAACAAGGAGATTCATAAGCATAATATATCGGCTTTATTCAATGTTTCCATGTATGTCTTTATCGTCAGGGGACTTTGTTGTCAAAACGAAATCTCAGAGAAGTAATAGTATTTTTGGATGTTAGTTGGAACTCTTCAGTATCATATACTTCCAACCAATTCATCATTAAGCTATTCGGATAGTAATTGGACTACCGTAGCACTGGGTTATTATTATTTGTCGCTTGGATTCCTAGTGGAACAAAAGGCTTCAGTAGAACGTCTCCATTCCACTCCATTCTCTACAATCTTTTCAACCTCGCTCCACAACTCCCCACAAGCTCTCATTTCTTCCTCATATCATCTCCTCCATATCACCCTCACCTTGGACGCCCAACTCCCCGTTTCCCATCTAGGTTCCAATCGAGGGCCTGGCCGGGCGTGTAATGTCCCCAGTCAGTCTTCTCAGTGTATGCCCAATCCAATCCACCTCCACTTCCTTCCACTGAATATTTGTTGGGTGAAAGATTCTTGATTGGTTCGTTGTTTCGTTGCCAGCCAGAGTGAGTTCATTGTTGCTAATTCTTATTATTCTGGTCATCTGATCTGATCTTCAGTAACGAGCCAGTGTAGGGGGCGCCTGTTGATGAATATCTGTAGTTTGTTGGGAATCCCTTTCGTAACACTCCAAGTCTCTCAACCATCACATATTAACACTAACTTGACATTGGTGTTGAAAGTAGCACTGGATTAGGGACATCAATCTCATCAAAGTCATTGATATTCTTGTCAATCACCTTCAGCCAACTTGCATCTCTTTGAATATATCACAATGATGAGTTTACTAGCCTGAAAATCACATTGCAAAAACTGATCAATACAATTCAATAAGCACAGAGAACTAGATAACATGAAGTCGATTACCCTCCAGTAACACTTTCATACTCGAATCACTCTTTATGAAACTGAAAACAGCAAGAACAACAATGGGTAAGGGAGCAGGAAAAAATGGACTCAGTATTTTTATTCACTGATATCTTACCAATTCCTTACAACTTCTAGAATCTCAGCATACGTAATTTAGAGGTAATATTCATCATGGACTGACATCAGTCGGGAAACCATAGGAGACCTAGAAGCACTGGACAGCTGCTTCATCCAAATAGTACAGGACTCCGCAGCAGTATGCACTCACAAACCGGCTAAGCATCGAACTCAGGATCCTTAGATCTCACGGGTCAGAGTTCTGTAGTTCACAGTTTGCAGCCTCTGTCAATTCGCGATATAGCGCGGCTATCACCCAAAGTCTTCAGTTAGCATCCACTTCAATTCCGACTGGTTGACCCCATAGGTCACGGCTTCTTATTAGGACTTCTTGATATCCATCTGAAAGCATATTACTAATGAGCACTATGTGTGACGGTCACGCCATACTGTGAATTGACAGAAGTTGGAAGCTGTGAACCACTGAGTTTCTACCCGGTAGCGTTTACCGTGAAACCTGAATATCCTGAGTTCGATGCCTAGTCGGGTCGTATGTGTGTACTGCTGAGGAATTTTATAGTGCGACGAAACAGCAGTCTAATGCTTCTATGTTTTCAATGGTTCCCCAACTAATATCAGTCTGTGGTGAATACGACCTTTAAATTAAAAATCTTCACTCATCTCAAAAGTATATAATTTTTTTGTCATTGAACATTTAACATACTTCCAAGTTGTCACGTTTATGTGCAAAATCCAACGGAAGTTTTTCGAATGCAAATCAAGACAATAGTAGCTCGGTTCGCTAGCTACTGCCACCGATTATCTTCCTGATTGTTGGGGACTCTACTGGGCTCGATCATGCAAGAAACTACGAGGAGCGTTAAGAGGGTCATAGGCTGTTTGACCCTAGAAATTCGGATTTCGCCAATGATGATTTATGTCTAGTGTCTTGTAGCACAAACTCTAAGATCTACAAGCGAAAACCAAAAAGTTGACAGAAGAGGTAAAGCAACAAAGATGGCACTTCCTTCAGGTGAACGTGGAGATGACACAAGTGATGAGGATACGTAAACCAACAACAAGCACCGATCACCAGAACGGGAGAAACGTGAAGGAAGTGATCTCTTTCACCTACGTAGGCAGGCGGTATAGTCTCAACTACTGGTGGCAGCGGCACTGATAAGAATGTGGAAGCCAGGATCGGAAAGATAGCATGATAGGCCTTCATTAATCTGTGGAGATCTACTGCACTCAGCATAAAGCGTGAACAAGATCCGGATTTCCAACACTAATTCAGTCAGGTCAGTACTTCTACATGGCTCAGAAACATGGTGCATTACGAAAAGCATTTCCAACAAACTGGAGACATACATGAACATCTGCAGCCTACGCTCACTCCATACTGAAGATCAGATGAGGAGGCGAGAAAGAATAAGCAAGAGGGATCTCAGGCTTAGCAACGAACCAATTAACCAAGAACCTATCACCAACAAATATGCAGAAGAAAATGGAGATGGATTCTGTTAGATTGGACATAGACTGAGAAGACGGTATGGGGACATCACGTGTCAGGCCAGGCCAGGCCGTCGAGTGGAAGCCGAATGGGAAACAATAAGCCAGTTGGGTGTCGGAGGGTGACATGGAGGAGATCGTGTGAGAAAAAAATGGAAGCTTTCCGGCAGTGGTGGACCCTGATTGATAAGACTGAAGAGAACGGAGGTAACCGGTGACGTGCTTGTGAAGCACTATGTTTCACTAGGAACCAAAATGATAAATAGTAATAGCCAGCAACATTCGATCAGAACAAAGGATGATGCAACTAAGTAAGAGTTAAGGAATGAACATCAGACGTTGATAAAAGATGATATAATCAAATTGCATTCATGGTAAGTTGCTGAGGTTTGAGTCATTTTATGACTGATAAAGCACGATGCAATAAAATCATTATTACTCTTATTTGTCCCTTGGATTCCTAATGGAACACACAGCCTCAGTAGTATATCTCCATTCCGCTCTCCTCTCTGAAATCTTTTCAACCTCGCTCCACAACTCCCCACAAGCTCTCATTTCTTCCTCACAAGATCTCTTCCATGTCGCCCTCTCCTCCGATGCCCAACTCGCCGCTTCCCATCTGGATTCCACTCGAGTGCCTGGCCTGACGCGTGATGTCCCCGAATCCTCTTCTCCGTGTATCCAATCCACCTCCACTTCCTTCCACTGCATATTTGTTCAGTGGTAGATTCTTGATTGGTTCATTGTTTCGTTGCCAGCCAGAGTGAGTTCATTGTTGCTTATTCTTATTATTCTGGTCATCTGATCTCATCTTCAATAACGAGTCAGTGTAGGGGGCAGTTGTTGATGAATATCTGTAGTTTGTTGGGAATCCCTTTCGTAACACACCAAGTCTCTCAACCACCACATAGAAGCACTGACTTGATTGACATTAGTCTTGAAAATCCGGATGTTGTTCACGCGTTATGCTGAGTGCAGTGCAGTGCAGTGCAGTGCAGAGCAGTGCAGCAGATCTCCACACTGGTTTCAGGTTAATGAAGGGTGACCTGTCTTGCTGTCTCTCCCATCCTCACTGCCTTCACATCCCCGTCTGTACCTGTGCCACCCCATGTATTTGAAACTGTGCTACCCTGCCTAGATAGGTGAAAGAGGCTACTTCCCTTAAGTCTCTCCCGTTGATGATGATTGGAGCATGTCGTTGTTGTTGGTGGTGGTGGTGTTGGTGGTGTTGGTCGGGTATCTTCGTCACCTCTGTCTTCTCGACGTTCACTTGAAGTCCCGTCTTCGCTACCCTGCCCTGCCTCTTCTGCCAACCTGTTAGCTTTCCCCTGTAGATCTTCATCTTTGTGTGACATTAGACATAAATCATCATGGGCGAAATCCAAATCTTCTAGGACCTTTTCATCGGTCCAGTCAGCGTATCCCCCTTTTTTCGCTCATCACTGTTTGTTGCACAATCCAGTCCGCTACAATCAGGAATATCATGGGTGACGCAATAAAGTAACAGTCCTTATTTGCCTTTATTTCTTATTCGAGGCTTTACCATTGGACTACCTATATATTTGTGACAACTTGTTACCATTTTTTCAGCTTCCTTTAATATGCCTTTATTTCCCGTTACTCTATGACTATTTCTGCCCAAATTCATGTTCATCCTATTCGGAACCCTAGTGCGGAGCGATATTGTTCCCACTGAGTTTTGAATCCAGCATTCATTGCTTCAAACTTTAAAAGCGTTATCCCATATGCCATTGAAGTACGATAGCCACCTCTTGTGCAATGGTTTTCGGTTGCTGTTCATTGATACTTTTAATTTTCCTTACATGCACAGGGTGAAAGTGCTTGACCTCTACAGTTGTCTATCCAAACCACTGACTAATAATTCGTTCTCTTTTAATGAAATAAGTTAAACTGAATTTTTCGTTAAACTATATATTTTGATATTATAGGTGTTGTAACCAACTGACTAGATGCCACTGAGATGAAATGATGCATCTGTCGTATTCTGATCCCTTACCAGATATATAATATAGATTAGTACAAACTATACAGAGATTCGTCAGTAATGAGTAACTGAATACTTTAGCAGTTAAGCTTTTGACACCATTACTGAATGACAGAGATTCGAATTTCTGACGGGACATCAGTTTCTTAATATATCTGCCAATTTTCTACTTACTCTACCGTTAAAACATAACCTATTATATACTGTGCCGTATCAATATAACAGATGAATAAGTGAGGTTTGAAGTTTATGAAGATTTTGTTTATTTCACAGTGATATTCATCGTGGATTGATATCAATCTGGAGAACCACTGAGAACCTGTAAGTACTGGATAGCTGTTTCGTTGTAGTACGCAACATTTAGGTACGATCTATCATAGGGTGGTGAGTGTGTAATACTGAGGAGTTGGATACTTGAATCAAACAGCCGTCCAGTGCTGTCATGTGTTTTCA